TGCTCCCCAAGTGACCGCAATGGCCCGAGCCAGTAACTTCCTCCAGGTCTCCCATGTGAGTGCAAGATCCCAAGGCTTTGGGCCATCCTCCATTGCTTTCCCAGGCCACAAGTAGGGAGCTGGATGGGAAACGGGGCTGCTGGGATTAGAACCAGCATCCATATGGGATCCTGGTGGGTCCAAGATGGGGACTTTAGCTTCTAGGCCTCCACGCTGGGCCCTTCTTGAGACTTATGAGGTATTCTTGTAGAAAAATGTTTAAGAGTTCATTGCAAGAATTTCAAAAATAGATTTATATGCAGCTATGATATATACTATATTGTAATATAGTCAATATATTAAATAGGCTAAATTATCTGTATATTATATATACATGCATACATGCATACATTCTATGGTAAAAGAGATGATACATTTATATAGCACATTGATCCAAAAACAAACTGTAATTTTCTATAAGTACCAAGTAAAACAACTACTCCATTTATGAGAAGCTCAGAATCCCCAAAGACCTTCAAGTAAATGAGGTATTTTCCAATAAAATGAAACCGCCAACCAACTGTAAACATCCCTCCTAAGGCCTGCCTAGAGGGTGGATATCAAAACTACGACCTTGTATTGAATCAGAAAATCAAAGAATATGTTATGTCATCGACTCATGATTCAAGCAGTGTCAGTTTCCAGACTGATAATGATGTCTCATAATGGGGAGGGGGAGTTGATTGTAGCAAGACAGAAATACACAAGTCACAGGAAGCAACAAACAGTTATTCCCTGACTGGTTCCTTTTCCCCATTACTGCACAAAATACACAGCTCCTTCAAACTTGCAGCTGCTAGACAATACTTTGGAGGTCATTTATTCTACCTTTTCCATTTTAAAGATGAATAACTGAGACACTTAGATAAAAGGATTAGCCCAATGTCAGAATACTGTAAGGATCCATATCAGAACCCAGTTCTCCTTATTTCTAATCCAACATTATAGAATGTGGCATTCCTTCTGATCTGCAGCAACACCAGCAGCATAAAACCAAATAATGCAAATCTTATGCTATCACCAATACTGCTGCTACAATTTGCTTGTATTTTAGTATGTTCCAGGGACAATACTAAGCCTATTGTATACCATCTTTATGATACGCATCTAGCAAGGCATCTAGCCAATACTTGGAGATAGAGGATTAGCCAACTGAACAATCATACCGGTTCCTCAATGCCCAATGCTTTTAATCCCAAGAAGGTTGAATTATTATGTTTGTTATCCTCCTCCCCAAAAGAGAATGAAATAACAAAAATCAGTGCATATAAAATATGTAACCATTATCATCTATTTCATCTATTTTCATGTGTATTGAAAAGAAAATCAAATCTACCAATTGGATAACTTGCAGCTTAGTCATTGTAGCCAGGCTTCTCTTACCCACAGCTTTTCAAAAACTGTCATGAAAACCTTACTCTCCTGATAACATCTGCCTTTTCCTTCCAAATCCACCACTTGAAAATACTACCAAGCAACAACATGGAGAAAGTTAGAGTTTTCATGTTGAGCCCCATCATCAGATCAGCCCCTTTGTAAAATCTTATGAAATGATTTGAAGGGAAAGGAAAGGGACACCAGTCCATTCCCTTCTACTTGTTCCTCTCCAAAAGTCCAAACCCATTGACCTAAGCTGAATTTGACCCGCACCTCTTTCCTTTTATATGCAGTAGCCAAGACCCACTGAGTTTCATCTCAACAATCTGTGCATGTGATCCTGAGATTCTTTCATAGTTTTCCCTGAGAACAGCGACTCTTCTGTTGCTGGAATTCAAGAGATTTTTGAACTATTTATTTTCTCCTAAAAATATTTTATTGTTTTTCTCCATCTCCTTTTTATGACCTCTTACCATTTTCCTAAAAGTTTCCCTTTTCCTATTCCTTCTTTTTCCATTTGTCTGAAATGTTCCTCTTGCCAATTTGTCTTTATTTCTGTCTCCATCTACGATCCCACTTGATGCACCTGACATTAAATTTTACTTGTAAACAAATCACATCTGAAACAAATTATAGAGTCTTACCCCAGCCGAATCTATGAATAGTTTGTTTGAACAAGAATTTCTCCAATACAACCATACAAAAAGAAAGACAAAGGAAATAAGATGTGGATGGCACCTTGAAGTAAAATATTTTCAAAAATATCAACTGACAATACTTGTTGAAGGTCTTTTTTTCCTTTAGATCCCATAAGCCTATAACCTTTATTCCACTTGTTTGGTAACACCTTAAAATCCAGTCACCTTCCTTTTCATTCTCTGCATCCTTGTACAACTATAGATAAAATAAGAATATTTACTGAGAAGCAAACTGTACTGGAAAGAACATAGCAGAGGGGACTGAGAGCCTTATAACTCTGTCACCATGATAAGCATCTTCCTATTTCAAAACCTCTTTTACTTGCTTTAAAAATAGTAACCAACAGGGCCCAGCATGGTAACCTTGGGGCTCAAGTCCTCACTTTGCATGCACTGGGATCCCATATGTGCACTGGTTCTAATCCTGTCAGCCCCATTTCCTGTCCAGATCCCTGCTTGTGGTCTGGAAGGGCAGCTGAGAATGGCCCAAAGTCTTGGGACCCTGTACTCGCGTGGGACATCTGGAAGAGGCTTCTGGCTCCTGGTTTTGGATCAGCTTAGTTCCAACCATTGTGGCCACTTAAGGAATGATTCGGTGACAAAACATTTTCCTCTCTGTCTCACCTCTTCTCTGTATATCTGACTTTCCAATAAAAAAAAAAACTTTAATAATAATAATAACCAACGTTTGCTGAGATAACTTTTCTCTTTTAGTTTCTTAGAAACTTTCTTGCCTTCACCATCTTCCATCTTGAAATGTCTTTTTAAGGGTAAGAACATCAGTGTGGAGTTGTTTTTTGGAATCTTGCATATTGTGATATCTTGGCTGGTTCACCTCACCTGGGACTGTTCACAAAGGGCTATCAGGCTTTAAAAATACTGAGATACAATGTAATTACATTATTTTGAGGATCTTCCAGGCATTTCCCAGTTATCTTAAGATAATGGTAAGCATGTTTAGGAGGAGGCTAGAAGGAACTCAAACTAATGATCTTATTTCTTCAGGTTTCTTACTCCTAGTGAGACTATAACTGAAGTCTTTACACTATCAATGCCGCACCTCAGTATCTCTACATGACATTTTATTTCTTGTGCTTATTTTTGCATACCTTTGACAAACAGAAGTTAATCAGGATTCTAATGTTCATCTTCTTTTATAGGCTTTAATGTAGCAGTTTATCACAATAGATGAGTGGTTCATGTTCGGGCCATTGTATCAATATTACACATCAAATAAAGTAAATATTCTCTAATCCACAGATGTAGACATCTGCCAAGTTGGCCGAGACAATACAGAAGACTGGAACTAAGCAATAATTAGATAAGAACTGCATCCTTTATTTTCCTGCTTGTTCCATGATCACCAGTGAAAGAAAACGTTGGTCTTGATGCTCTGTTCATCTAAGTGGCTGTCTCTCTCCCTCTAACTCTTAAAATTCTATGGGAACAAACTCAACACTATTCATTACTCTCAGAGAACCTCAGCGTGCTCAGGCTGCCACAAGGCCACCAATGTAAAGATGAGCTAAACTGTGCTCCCCCCATCATCCCAGCCAAAGCTTCCAGAAGAGCCTCCTGAGCAACTAAGGTAGCAATGAGATGAACAACAAACCTGGATTAGGACACCTGAGTCAGGGCTCTGATGTTCCGGCTGTGTGATCTGCAACAAATTACTTAACCACCCAGGTGAGGGTTACTGAAAAACTAACACAGTGCCTGGAATATAGTGCCCAATAAACAACACCCATTGTTATTATTGAGAGATAAGGGACAACATCACTTTTCAAGCACATTGTCAGAATTAAGCTTGACAGTCTTGTTTTTTAGCTTCTCTCTTTGCTCATTCATCTAACTCACCATTGAAAGATTAATTTGATTAAGACTAGATTCCACACTTCCCTGGCACTCATAATTTGTAGCACACAAATGTCTTCATAATTTGTATTTCTTCAAACAATGTTAGCTTCTGAAGGATAGAAAGTGGATCTTTTAAATGCAATGTAGTGTACAATGATTTATTGAGTCCACTTACACATATTTTATTATTGATATATATATATATACACATATATATAATATATACATCACTACCAAAGGGCACTAATAGCTTCCCCCAGCAATGAACATTGCAAAAAAACTTCTTTTTGCTTTTGTTCAGGGCGATTTACACATTATTATGTAGAAGTTGCTAGAGAACAAAAATAACTCCACCGTTGAGAAATACTGCATAATACCTACTAAAAAGAGTCTTCTTTATCACACATGTACTTTTATCACTAACATCCATTCTAATACAAGAAATATTCAATTTGTCAAAACTTGGAAATTCACCATCCTACACAACGTTTAAGAAACACAATACATGGGTCTGCCACGGTGGCCTAGCACTAATGTCCTCGCCTTGAATGCGCTGGGATCCCATATGGGCGAGGATTCTAATCCCAGCAGCCCCGCTTCCCATCCAGCTCCCTGCTTGTGGCCTAGGAAAACAGTCAAAGATGGCCCAAAGATTTGGACCCTGCACCCGCATAGGAGACTGGAAAAATCTCCTGGCTCCTGGCTTTGGATCAGCTCAGCTCTGACCATTGTGGTCACTTGGGGAGTGAATCAGTGGAGGGAAGATTCTCCTCATGTCTGTATATCTGACTTTCCAATAAAAATATACTCCCAAAGGCCAAGTAGACAATAAGCTGAATACAAATGTTTTTCAGCTATACAGAGCACATACATAAACGGACGAGACAACCAACCAGCGTTCTAAAAAGTGGAAAAAGACGATTTTTTCCTATTGTTTAATCAGACCAGGCACAGTCCTTCCAATTTCTGGTTACTATTTGCATCACTTAGCTCTAATTGTGCAAACACATAATTCCTCACAAAACTTACATTTAGCGGACCCCAACAGGTAGGAGAGGAAGGGCCTTGCCTGATGAAGAGGCAGTTAACAAATGAGAAAATTGAGATTGCAGACTGGTTTCTACCGAGCATACTGCCAGCAGGAGTCCGGCAGGAACTCGGGGTGGGTCAGCAGAGACGCCTCCCCACTCTGCAGCCAGCCCAGGGAATACCTTGTAGGCTCCGTCTGAACGCCCCCTCCATACTGAGCAGCCCCCCCAGAAAAGTAAGCATCGCTTCCCGGAGGGTTTCGGCTGGGAGAGGAGGCGCAGGGAAAACCCGGTCGTTTAGATCCCCAGCTTGACCCATGCTCCCGGACCCCCGGGCCGCCCGTCACTCACCGCGCTGCGGGCCCCAGGTGCCGCGCTCACCGCGAGCGCCCGCTGTCAGCGCCCGGCGATCCGCCTCCCGCGCCCGCCGCGCTCGCCGCCGGCCTGGGCAGTCCGAGCTCGGGGGGCCCGACCCGCGCCGGTGGTTTCCACACACAGCGGTGGCAGCGGCCCCGGGGGCACAGGGAGGGTTCTGCCCGCCGCGGGCGCGAGCACGCGAATTCACACCTCAGTTTCCCCTCTCGGGCGGCACGCCCGGCGCGGGCACCGGCTGGCTGAGGCGTGGCGCAGGGCGCCGAGCACCCGGCCTGCAGGGGCCGGGCACTGGGGTGGCCGACCGGGTCGGCGGGGCGACGCGCTTCCTCTGCGCTCGGCTGTCCGGCCCTGAGCACCCCCTAGTGTCGTCGGGTCTCGGGGGGCTCCCGGCACGACCACACGCGGCGGGTGTGAGAAACCTCAGGGCCTCCGTGGGAATCTGCAAAGTCAGACGGCAGGTCCCCATCTCGTGGCTGAAGTGACCGGGGGCCCTTAAGGTTCCCGCGTAAAAAGCGGGGACTGAGAGAAGGAAAAGTGCCCGGGTGACCGTGTTTCATGGAACCTGGCAACCCAGTATTCTTGGGCCAGGAAGGAACTGAAAGAACTGCCCCCTCAAGCAAGACACAAGGCTTCCTCACTCCTTAGAATCTTCTGAATTCAAGTTCTAGTTCTTGAAACAAGCCTTTTAGGTTTACTTGAGGCCTATGTTTATTAGCTATTATTAATGATGAACTCAAAAAAGAAAGCAGAAATGTAAATAAAATAATTACGTGCAAATCTTCCTCACTTGGAGGCCCACAGCCCTGAGCACCCTTTGGCACTCCGCGGGGATGTCGTTTCCCCAGCTCAGAGCGCAGCATTTCTGACAAGATGGCCCCTGTTGTCCCTGGCGCAAGGGCCGAGGTGGCTGAGCACAAGCGCATGCGCACTTAGCCTTCAGTCGCCTGCTGGCGCACGAGCCCAGCACCTCTCCAGGTGTGTAACCTGGGGAAAATGTACGTCTTAGAACTGACAGTGTCTGACAGAAGACTTTTACAGGATAGTGATATGCTATAGCTTACATGCTTTTGATATTTATCTACACAAACGGTTTTTTTTCTTGATGAATGCTGATCAGCAACTGTTTATTAACTAACTACCCAGTGGAGTGACAGAACAAAGTTATTAAGTTATAATTTATAGCTTCATTAAACTAGAATCAGTGTCTCAGTCATCACAATGGTGAATACATATTACAGCTTTGATAGAGTCAAGTCAGTTCTTAAAAAGCATTTAAATCGTAGAATGTTGAGGCTAACAAGATGGTACTCGCCAGTGAACATTGCAGCAGTCAAAAGTTGGATATGTTTAAAACTAATTTTTAAAAGATTTATCTATTTTTATTTGAAAGGCAGATTTACAGAGAGAGAAGAAACAGAGATATTCCATCTACTGGTTTGTTCACTAAATGGCCTCAAAGGTGGAGCTGGGCGGATTCAAAACTAAGAGCCAGGAGCTTCCTCCCAAGCTCCCATGTGGGTTTAGGGGTCCCAGGTCCTGAGCCACCATTCTCTGCTTCCCAGGAACATTAACTGGCCTGGATCTGAAGTGGAGTCATTGCCAGCAGAGGCTTCACTTGCCCATGGCACCTGCCCTACTAGAATTATTTGTATTAAAAGTTCTAAAATTTGCTGACCTTTTCCATAATGATGCATGGTTCTGAGTTGAATGTCACGTAAGAGATTTTTTTTTCTGAAACAAACAAACAAAAAAAACCCCACAGGTTTTTGTTTTAAACCCTTTCAAGGTAATGTCATTATTTGTGTGGTTTTACTGAAAATTATGTAAGTCTGTTGCTAACAAAAAACAAGACCAAGGGAACAATTTACTATCTTGTTTCACTTTTTTTGAAGTGCTCAGTACAGTAGATTTCGGATCCATTTTTAAAAAAAATGTGAGGCAGCAGAAGCTTCTAGTTAGTTCGAGAGGACAATTGATTGGTATTGGGGTAAAAAGACTATGGTAGCCACATGTTCATAACAGTTTTTCATCATTTGTCAATTAGGTTTGTTCAAAATAATTTTTAGTAAGAAGAAAGGATTTTGCTGTTTGTAAATCATTATGCCAACGGTGTATTTTGTAATTTATCATAGTTTAGATTTAAATTATGTTTTTATAGTTGTGCGCATATGCCTGTAATTTGTGAGTATATGTAAAACCAACAATAAAAAGTGGGGTTAGAGTCTTCAAATCCTTTTTTTCTCAGGTGTTTGGAAGGCTACCTCTCATTCCAAGTTCTAATTGCATGATCTTCCAAATTGCTAAATCACACGTAAAATGGTGTTCCAAATGCATCTGATACATTTTCTTTGAGGAAACAGTTGAAAAGTACTGAAATTTGTTAGGTGAGGATAACACATGGGAAGAATTCATAAGATACAGGTAACAATGAAAACCATATTTAATTTCTCTTTTTCTCGAGATGCAAAGAAATTAGAAGATGAACACTCCTCCATAGAGTCTATTAGAAAAATCATCATGTTTTAAATCCATCAGTGGATCACTCAGTGTAGGGCATACAGGAAGTGAAAATGTGTGCTACTGGTTATTGACAGCATCATAAAACTTACTGAATTGAGCTGAGTTTTCTGGAGAGATCTTATTTTTCTTTGCTTCGTCATAATTATAGGTGTCTCATCTTTTTTTCCCACCCCCCCTTTTTTTTACTCCCTTTTTAAATTCTCATAAAGTGAATAAATGTTATGTGTTTCACAAAAAATTGGGAGCATGCTGACATTACCCATCCGACCTTCCCTCCCCTTCCTTATTTCTTTATTTTCTTATTTTTTACAATGTGACCATTGCATTTCACTTTCAATCACTGGCTGAATACTCCATCTCCTTGTGGGGTAATGATATTGACCCAGAGCAAACAGAAAAAAAAAAAAAAAGCAAGCTACTATTCCTCAGTAGCACAGACAAAGCTATAAACAATAATCAATTCCCAGGATGCCTATCTCACTTATATAGACTGTATTTTCTGTGCTCTGTGCATTAGTTATCATAGATCAGGGCAAACATAAAATTTGTCTTTTGGGGACTGGTTTATTTCACTAAACCTAATGGTTTTCAGCTGCAACCACTTAGTTGCAAATGACAAGTGTTCATTCTTTTTGAATGAAAAGGTAGTAGTCTCGTGTATATATGCCACATTTTCTTTATCCAGTTATAAGTCTATGGGCATCTGGGTTGATTCCATATCTTACTTACTCTGAATTGAGTTGCTACAAACATGAGGTTACAGATAACACTCTCAAATGCTGATTTTCTTACATTTGGATAAATTCCCAGGAGTGGGATGGCTGGGTGATATGGTAGATCTATTTTCAGATATCTGAAAAATTTCCATTCTGTCCTTCATACTGGTTGCACTGGTTTGCATTTCCATAAACAGTGGATTAGGTTACCTTTTCCCTCACATTTCATCTTCAAAATACACAATTTTCTTTAGCAAATCAGTGATAAGTTCTTATTTCTTCTTTCATTTCCCTTCTTGCCTCCTTCTTTTAACATTGGGGAGTTCCAGTAACAGAAACAAGACTGTTATCAGTGTTCTGTCCAGTTAGAGAACAAAGTCCTTGCTTCTGTGCTTTCTGAAGACTAAGCCCTGCACAGCTGTTGTCTGATGAAACAAGAGCCTAATATACAGACTAAAACGCCTGCCTGATTGTTCGCATTATAGTTTTAAGTTGCTGGGTGTAGTGGGGCATTCTACATTGCTATTAGGAACTTGAATACACTAAAGTCAACAGCTCTTAAACTAAGTGAATAACCACAATGACAGTGACAAAGTCTTTTCTAGGAAATACTGGTTCTGTTTCCATTTCTGGTATATTTCCACCCTTTGAAATGTTGATCTGGGTTCATTGTTGATAATAAACATTCTGAAAATACTCACTCACACTTTTCTATGAATAACAAATGTGTTATGCTTAAAATGCCAATTTTGAGGATAAATTAGAGGTATTGCCAACACTGTGAGCTGACAGTAACAGACAAATGCTGCCACCATTAACTTAATAAAATTTTAACATAATTTTAACCTACTACTTACAACAAGGAGACTCAGAATTTAATGTTGATTGTCTAACCTGTTTTCTCCTCACATTCTTAATTTCTAACAGTTCTAATTTATTAGTTTTGCTCATCTCCTCAAATGTTAAATGTACAGGATATCAATATAACTTCTAAATTTACATGTAGCATCTTGTGTTGAAAAAGCTTATTGAAAATAGCATAATGCAATGTTCTTAGATTATGATAATTCTAGAAGTCTTTAAAATGAATATTTTAAAGTTGCAATTTCTCCACAATTGACATTCAAAAAGCACATTGTTTACAAGAGAACAGCAATGAATGTGTAGAGGTTTTAAGGTTGCCAGAAGGCTTGAGAAATGATAAAAGTTAAATGGTCCAGTGAGAGTCATGACATAAATTGAAACCTAATAGACACAGAGCCCTGTGCAATATTTTAAAGTTATTTTTTCTGAGAGATTTAAAAAGAGAAGGTGGAGAGAGAGAGAGAGAGAGAGAGAGAGAGATCTCCATCTGCTCCCAGTGGCCACAAGATTATGGCCAAGCAGATCTAAAGCCAAGAGGAAGGAGCTTCTCCCAGGTTTCCATGTGGGTGCAGACGCTCAAGGA